CGTTTGTCAGGGTTCCTGGGTCGCTGACCTAGTGTTTTCAGTTTTAGACTTTGTCACTGTTTAGTTTTCATGTTTCCTGTTTTTCTGTGCCAGCCTTCTACCTTTGTGCTGATCTCTCAAATGAGAGATCACATCACACCTCTCCTTCATCCTGGGGCATAACTGGTTTCTTAAACCTGACCAGACTCTCCTGGTGTGAATGTTTTCCCCACTTACTCAGATAAAATCTGTTTAACTGCTTGAATAGGGTGGTGTGGACTAGACAACCTTCACTGTCTATTCACTCAGTCTTCTTTTTCCAGCGTGGGGAGAGTCTATGCATTCTTCCTCCTCTTCTTTCTTCAGTCTCAGGGGTAGACTACCCTGAGACCTTGCACAGACCAGGGGTTTATTTTGCCCCCGTGGTTGAGGTCTGGGTCTCTGACTCGTCTGAGTCAGGGCTCGATTCCCCCTTTGGTGCTCAAGTTGCTCCTTGTTCCTTCACCGACCTTCCTGACTCCTCAGCTACTGCACACTGGCTCCAGTGGTACCCGGCTTCGCCTTTGCCCTTCAGTCGAACAGCGTGCGATTTCCTGTCCACCTCAGCTCTGACCACTTTCTTTTGATCACTTTCAGACGTACCCACCAGGCTTCCGGCAGCGAGCTACCTGCAGCAAGCTTAACAAGCTGTGCTCTCTCTCTAACCCATGTGCCTCTTCATTAGCTCTCATTCTGATCTCTGGGGGCAAGACTGGTCGTCCATCTGGTCCTCTTGGGTGATCGCCTTCCTTCAGTTTGGTCACTGCACCTGTAATTAAAAATTAAAACTACCCCGGTAAACCCCTTTTGCCACACGGTCCTTGCCATGTGTAAATTCAAAACAATTAGAGATGCACAATAAAGTTGCCCATTCTCTCTTAAAAATTCCAGGGCTTCTCCCCTGGAGTAGCTCTGCTCCAGGCCTGTAAACCTGTGTTTAAAAAAATTGGCCAGTGGTGTTTCCTGCTGCAAATCATGTGATTAAATCATATGATTAACCCTCTGCTGTAGAAAAGTAGATGTAGATGTTAGCCCAGTGCATCTTAAATGCACACTTTCTGAAAGTGGACCTTTGCACTGTAAACAATACAAGGTCATATTAACACACTGCTTGTAAATAGATACAGAAAAACTGGCAACCAAAAGATTTGCATGGCCTACAAGTCATGCAAAACTAAGATGTCGCTTTCATCCTGTTCCTGTAAAAAAAGAAACATCCACCCTTTTTGCTCTGTGGGTGGAGTTGCAATCTTGCATATTGGTGTCAAGTCAGTCAAGTTTTTGTCAGTCCAGTCAGTCCCCATGTTTATTGCTAATAGCAGAACCTCTCGTGTCGCATTAAGTTTCTACTGCCAGCAATATGACGACATTTCAAAAAGAACATTTTATTTACCTTCCCCCTTTTTTTCTGAAACAAAGCTTCTTTTGCTCCACCTTTTTGTTTCAGAAACACCTAAACAAAAATTTAAAAAATCTCTATCATAGTCAGGCAGAGCTAAATCCTAATGCTTGCGAGTTACCATAGGCAACCACGCTGTGTTTTGTTAACCCCCTCTACAGGTACCCTCTTGTGATGTGTGCCACTTCCTGTATGATTTTGTGCTACGCCCAGTACATGTTGTGTGCATGTGAGGTGTTGCCTTTCCGTTTTGTCCAGCAGTCCACTTGCATACCTCAGTGCTTGTCTTCCTCCCCCTTTTGTGGTGGTCTGGACACTTTCTCAGTTCTCCACCTCAACATAGTCGTTTGTCTCCCCGGATTCCTTAACCCAATTTGATTTCCCACACTAAAACAACAGTATTCCTCTGTGTCTTCACCTGCTCCTTCTTTCACTGTGGTCTCTTCTTCCCCAGCAGTCCAGTGGCAGTTCTTCGTTTCAGCTTTGTCCTGTGTATTCTCCCACTGTCTCTTTCATTGCCATTTTGCTCCAAACATGGCAAATGTCAAACTCAGACAGTCTCCTTAAAAGTCCTTCACCCATAGTGAAGTTGCAGCTTGCTGGAACCGCATCTCTCCATCCATCCAGTCGTGATGATGGATGTTCTGTTTCTCTCTCTGATGTCGTTTGCCCATAGCGCTGCTGGACCTCTCCGCTCAGGACTCTGCTGTCGTCTCTTGGACTTCTGTCCACTGTTAATGTTCATGGCTGTGCTTCTGGAACTGCACTCCATGTCTTCAAGAAGAGATTAGCTTCCTTGGAGCTTGCTTTTTCAGGATGAGGAAGGGAAGCTGCAAAACAATTCAGCCAAAACTCGAGCTGGGTGTTTCTAATTAACCTATAATCTTCTTCCTACTGCTTCTCATGGAGAATTGATCCAGGTCCATTTCTCCACCTGCAAGTGACACACTGAGACAACTTGATCATTCACTGTCCTGGTCCAGTCTGTGGACTCCCCGTGTTTATGTTTAAGTTTATTACCATTCTGTGGTTTTGTTTCTTTTGGGTTGTTTGTGATTATCACTAGTTTTTTGTGTCCTCTGTGCCCTCCTGTTCCACGTTTCAGGTTCCTATGTTCCGTCTCCCCAGTCTGTGTTAAGTTTGCGCGTGTAAAGTTCAGTCGGTGTTTCCTGTTTTATTTTGAAGGTCCGTGCCTCTTTTCAGTGTTTCACTTCCCCTTGTGTCGTAATGTCCAATTAATTCCAGCCGTGTCTCTCTCCTGTCTTAAAAGTCCTGAAAGTAAGATTTTAGTGGTTCTTGACCCTCTTCGTATTATTATTACTTACTTTCATCAACCACACTCCTATTCAGTTTTTTCTTTTGTGTCCACTAAGGGCAGATGGTGACCTGCAGTATCACCCGCTCCCCAGTTGGAGACAATTCCCCTCTCACAATTCCACACTCTTTTTTTGTTTTGTTTTCATTAGTTTTTCTTTTTCATTTTTCCCGTTTTTTTTACCCCGTTGTTTTACACACACACACACACACACACACACACACACACACACACACACACACACACACACACACACACACACACATCAACCTCTTAATTCACTTCTCCAACCTCTCTTTTCCTTTCTCCCCAACTGCTCTCATCTAGTTCTTGATTAAATTCTCCATCCATACTTGATCACCTTTAAATCTCAGTTAATTTTATTTATTTATTATTACCTTATCACTAATCCACTGTTTATTTTATTATTTATTTTATTACTATTATTGTTTCACCAATAATCCCCTGTAATCCACTCTGTCTCCCCTTTTGCCC